CGCTGGCTTATTGCTGGGGGGGGGGGGGGGGGGGGGGCTCATTGGGAGACTCATTGAGGGACTCGTCGAGGAACTCGGCGTTATCTCAGTTAACGGCCCAACCAAAATCATCGTTTCCACGTTGAGCTAATGGAGCCTCTACCTGCTGTCTTGGCTAAACTTGGTGTTCACCTCTTGATATTTGGACGAAGCGTCGACCGGTTTTTGCTTTTAGGAAAGGCCCTGGCAACGAGCACGGCATCTCTAGACGTGCGTCACTATATCATTATTTCGTTTTAGGACAAGGATCGTTACGTCGTCGTACCGTGATTTTTTAATTAATTAGACCGTAGAATTTTGTGCGCGCAAGACGTTGTGCATATGTAAGCTATTGTATTGTTCCAACGTCTCTTGCCGAGAAGGTCTTCCTCTTGAAGGTGAACGAATTGTGTAACGCGGTTACAAAACGACTAATAGTAAGCCGTTTTCATTCTAATACTATCTGAATAAAACTTAATTTATTACTCAGACTTTTTTTTCTTTACACTAATTGTACTTTTGTGGACAGTGATTGTATGTGAGCCCGTAGTACCGTATAATTAAATTTAAAAGGCCAGTTGGATTTGTTCTTATCAAGTATATTTAAAAATGGATCTCATATAAGTGGCAAGCTTAAGAGTATAATTTTTCATGCTTGTTTACAGCTTGTTTAGTAGCTCGCTTATCCATGTAAAATTCAGGATGAGAAAGAAATTGCCTACGAGCGCATATTCGTGCGAAACGCAGTAAATGACAAAGACCGTGTGCTCAAGTAATTCTACTCCATTTATCTCGCAAAAGATTCCCTTTATTTTACTTCTAATAACGAACCTCTAAAATTTCTCTTGCCGTCATACCTGGCATGAACGTGTTTTAAATATAAACAATAAGATTGACTAACAAAAAAAAAAAAAAAAAAAAAAAAAAAATCGCGTTTCGCATACCGAACAATAGCCAGTGTCATTGCGTGTGAGCATTGCACAATCTAAAAGAAACCAAACGAACCTTTCAATTGATATTTGTTTTACAAATCGAGTATCGAAAATAAAAATGACTGAAAGTCTCATTATTAATATAAATTAATAAATATAACATTTACATAGTCGAATGCGCGACAATGCACTATATAATGTAAAACAAATCGTTGTAAATCGAGCGATAATAATAATAATAATAATAATAATAATAATAATAATAATAATAATAATAATAATAATAATAATAATAATAATAATAATAATAATAATAGTAATAGCAAAGAAAATAATAAAGCAGTTTTAAGCACTATAATTGCTTGCGTAACGTTTATTTGTTTGCCTATTCTTTACGAGCACTCCTCTTCCTCTTCCTCTTCCTCTTCCTCTTCCTCTTCCTCGTAACTTCAAAGAACTTTTTATACGTAGGGCCTCCTTTCCTCCAATTATCTTTCATTCGAGTTTCGACTCGTTGACGTGCGCCTACTTAAAGGAAAAAAAAAAAAAAACTGCGAGACACGAGCGTAATCTTTATTTCCGCTCCTATCCGCAATATCCGTTCAATGCTAATTTCCAATCAAATTAATAAATGCAAATATTACAGGATAGAAGGGAGCGTAACGTAACGTCCCAATGACGCGATGATAGTACGAAATTTTCGTAAATTCGTATATTATAACCTTTGATTAAAAGCCATAAACATCAGGTCTGCTCCCTAATGCACATTACGTTTGCTTTAATCTTCTCCGCGTGACTTTGCATAGGGAACAGCGGAAGCTAATAATTGCGCCGCAATTGTCGTGCGTTTGTTACTTACGCTCGGAGTCTTGGAATCTTGTAGACGCTTTTTTTCTTATTTACCATCCCGGAAAATTGCTATAGTTTATAATGTCAACGTTTCATCGAACGATTGAACATATCTATAAGTACATCGAATACTGCTATAGTTTCGTATGACGTATCTGCGTCCGTCCTTGTCTCATCCTCGGCGACCAATTGAATTTCTCTCGGCTGCTTTTCAAATTCGCGTCGTACGTCGTCCGTTACTCCTGCGACCAGTCGATCATGCCATTTAGATTTTTTTAAACATGCGTGTGTCGTGTGGGACCGTTGATTATGTATTGATTAGAATCGTTGGCGATTTACGGAATAATCATGTTGTCGAAGGTGACGAAAAAGAAGCGGCTGAAAGTATCGGGAAAGGGAAGGGATTCGCTGATGAAAGAGGACGGCGACATCAACAAACGTTTGAAAGATTATTTATCTTTGCTCCCTGACGTATTGGCCAATGATGAAAATCAATTGCTAGAGTTGCCCGAGATGCTATTGAGCGATGCTGAATGGTGCGAGATAAATGTCAGCTCTAAAACCCTTGGCATTGAATCAAAAGATGATCTATTAAATTCGATAGTTCCTCGTAAGCAATGGGTTGCTGGATTGTCAGTAAACTCAGATAGAACAGAATTGGAAAATAAAAATGCAAATAACTCCACTTTAGCCAAATCTATCAAGTCTCTCTCATCGTGTAAAAAGAATAAAAGCAAACTGTTTGACAATATAACCGATACGTTTACCAATTCTAATATTTTAAGCGTACGTGAATTAAGCGATGTCAATAGTCAGAAGCGTTTTGAATTATCCAGTTGGGGATTGCCACCGTCGATTCTCCAGGTTGTATGACTTTTGAAACACTCTCTCCAGCAATACGCTTGCTATATTATTTGAAATGAAGTATTATACTCCGCTTTATGGAAAGAGAATACAGGAATTATAGAGTAATATTAATGGTGGTAATGTCATTTCAGAAATATCAAGCTAGAGGAATTAACACAATGTTCTTATGGCAAGTAGAATGCTTAGCTAATTATAAAATTTTGGAAGAAAATAAAAATCTTGTTTATTCTGCGCCAACCTCTGCTGGAAAAACACTAGTATCTGAATTTCTTATTCTGAAGACAGTCCTGGAGCGTCGCAAAAAGGCCATCTTCATTCTACCATTTGTCTCCGTCGTTAGAGAAAAAATGTTTTATTTTCAAGTAAGCAAATTAATTAAATTTCAATTTTATTCCAAGTCTGTAAATAATTTTTTGTATAAACAAACTTTACTCTATTAGGATTTACTCTGTGACAGTGGAGTAAGAGTGGAGGGTTTTATGGGTGGTGTAGCACCAGTGGGTGGTTTTTCAGCCGTACATATTGCTATAGCCACCATTGAAAAAGCCAATTCGCTCGTTAATCGTTTAATGGAAAACGGAGATTTAAAGACATTAGGAGTTGTTGTTATCGATGAATTGCATCTTATTGGCGATCCAAATAGAGGATATTTATTAGAATTACTTTTAACTAAATTGCGTTATATGAGTTTAAGGTAAGGATTATTTATTATACAGTTTATAATGAAACTCGGCAAAATTCTTACATCATTTTCCATTCAGCATAGAGCATGTAAACATTCAATTGATCGGTATGTCTGCGACCCTTCCAAATTTGCCAATAATAGCTGAGTGGTTAGACGCTGAACTTTATAAGACTGATTTTAGACCGATACCGCTCAACGAACAATGCAAAGTGTGTATAATAGCAATTTCATATAATCATAATAATACAATTCTATGCTTCTCTACGGTTAAATAAATTGTTTATTCATGTTGTATAATATTTATGTTTTAGATCGATAAATCCATTTTTGATTGTAAGTTAAATTTTATCAGAGAGCTCGAAGCTGCTCCAGATATAGTCAACGATATTGACAACATCGTTCAGCTGTGCATTGAAACTATAAGCGGTGGTCATGGAATACTTATATTCTGCGCAGCAAAATCTTGGTGTGAAAAATTAGCCACACAAATAGCTTTTGCGTTCTTTCAATTAGGTATGTTTTAGAGTTATCAATTCAAATTTGTCCCAGATACTATGGATCCCAGAATTGTTAAAATATATTTCCAGGACGCGATAATACGTATCACGGTCAAATTTTGAGGAAGATGATGGACGCCGTAGCTCTTCAAGAGGTATTAATTCAACTCGCGCACTGTCCAATTGGATTGGACAGTATTTTAGAAAAGACCGTGTCTTTCGGTGTTGCCTTTCATCATGCTGGCTTGACGATGGACGAACGTGACATTATCGAAGGTGGATTTAGGTAGGTCATAATTACTAGAGATTTCTAGAATACAATGGTCTAACGATTAAATAAACACGAGTATCGAACTTTAGGCTAGGCTCTCTAAAAGTTCTCGTAGCAACGTCAACTCTCAGCAGCGGTGTAAATCTTCCAGCCAGAAGAGTAATAGTACGCTCGCTAAAATTCAATGGTAATCTTTTGGATAAATTAACGTATCAGCAAATGATTGGTCGAGCGGGTCGCATGGGGAAGGACACAGCAGGTATTAAAGGAGCCGTTTATTATATCTCCAGGGCTGTATCGAGGATGTAAGAGTTGGGAAATTATTCGTAGGTGAAAGCATCCTTATATGCCAACCGAACGAGCGTGCCTCGGCCTTGAATTTAATGGCATCGTCGTTAGAGCCCATATTGTCTTGTTTAGAGAGCTCGGCCCCTCTAATTCGCGCTCTACTCGAAGCTGTCGCCAGTGAGATTGTGCGCACACCAAAGGATCTTGACTTTTACTGTAAATGCACCTTCGTTTATAAATGCGAAGGCGCTGTGGTGACGACAATGGTGCAGGAAGCCGTGCAATTTTTAATTGCAAACGAATTTTTACTGCAAGTATAATGAACCAGTATATTATAAGTATATTCGATCATGATTGATGTTTCCTTTAATCTCTTAGTTTCATCAACTAAGAGAAGTTTATGAGAATACATTGAGAAAAGCTGTTAAATGTAATGACAGCTCGATAGATTCGGGCGGCAAGGAGGAGAGGCTGGTGGCAACCTGCTTGGGCAAGGCTTGCTTGTCGGCTTCGATACCACCTTGGGATGGCCTCTTCCTCTTCGAGGAGCTCCAACGCGCGAGGAAGTGTCTCGTCCTCGACACAGAGTTGCACGTCGTCTACTTGGTAACACCGTTCAGCGCTGGCAGTCAAATCAGCCAGATCGACTGGATGGGCTTCATGGAGCTGTGGAAGACGCTGCCGGAGAGTGAGCGCCGCGTCGGGAAATTGGTCGGCGTCGAGGAGAGATTCTTAATGAGCGCTTTGCGCGGAATCATCAAGCCCGGAAAACTCGTGAGTCTATTCTTTAGGAAATTAAAATACTTTATGTGTAGTTTTAGGGAGCACGCGATCGAACCTCTTTATTAAAAGCTCTCGGATATATAATTGTAACAACAACTCCAACAACGACAAAATAATAAATGAATAAATAGAACATTCGATAAATTTCGATAAATAATAAATTTAAAGTCTTGAACGTGTTTTTATTTTTTTTTTTTTTGTTTTTTATATTATTTTTTTTTTTTTCATCTTTATTTTATACGAACATATTTTGCAAAGAACTTTATCGTATGAAATGGAATAATCTTTACTTTCTCGATATTTTTATTTTGTCATTATGTCTCGCATATCCCATGGCGTTACGAGCTGAAACGAGTATAAAAATTATTAGCGAATGAAATGAAAAACAATTTATTTTCATTAGTTAAACATTCACCGAAGATTCTACACGGCGTTGGCCTTACACGACTTAGTGCGCGAAGTGCCGCTGAATACCGTTTGCAGAAAGTACAACTGCTGCCGCGGTTTATTGCAAAGTTTGCAGCAATCTTCATCGACTTTCGCAGGTAACTTGGTCGATTTTATTCAAGCGCTCAAATTAACATCCCACATAATTATCGTTTGCGCGGCGAAATAGCAAATTGTAAAATAATTGAGTTAAATTGTTAATCGTCGCTTGCTCCTCCCGACATTTTATTTTCAATAATTTACTTTGCTTTGAATAACGTATATGCGCGCTACGCAGGCATGGTGACTAATTTTTGCAAGGAGCTCAAGTGGGACTGCATGGAGCTGCTTTTTGCCCAGTTCCAAGCTCGGCTACAATTCGGCGTATGCAGGGATCTCCTGGACCTCCTCCGGCTGCCCAGTCTTAATGGGTTACGCGCTCGGAGTCTCTTCAAATACGGGATAACGAGTGTTGCGGAGCTTGCGATCGCGAGTACACTTAATGTCGAGGAGGCACTAAACAAAGCTTTGCCCTTCGAAAGGTATTGTGCTATCGGATAAGCTTTTGGGGAGTATTTGATGACGTGTTGTCTGTTTAAATTGACTTTTCGATGATGGCTTTCCTATGTCGGTGAGAAATCTAATTTGTCGCGCTTGTTGAAGTGGCGAGTTATTTATGTATTTCGAGAAGCGAAGTAATTAACCGAAAGTATATTGAGAAAACGAACCTTTTACATCGAAGCATACGTGTCAAATATTTTCATTTGTTATCGGCAATCACAATCATCATTGGTAAAGTGGTAAGAAATATCTAATATGTTTCGTAATATTGCGACAATTTAGCGAAAAGAACTTTGACGGGGAGAAGATGACTGAAATTGTACAAAGAACGAAAATGCGAACGGTTTTTATTACTGGAAAGGATGGTCTGACGGCGCGCGAAGCTGCACAAATTGTCGTAAACGAAGCTCGCGTTTTAGTACAGGTAAGTCAAAGGTTTAAAATTGATATTTGAAAATTTGAAATTGAAATTCGAATTCATGTTATTTGGGAAACAAGAAAAGAAAAAGCAATAAGATAAATCCCGTTTATTAGCAATAATGCAAGTTCGCGGCTCTTTGACAGAATGAACTCGGCGTGCGCGATGTACAATGGAGCCAAATCGATAACGCCAGCCAAGCGAGTCCACGCTCGAATTGCGTCGATTCGACTAATTTAACGACACCGAATATGATGAATGGGCCTCGTTCTTCGCAAATGGCGTACGTCGAGGTGCATGCTGTGGCAGACGAGGCAAAGGATAAAAAACGGCTCGATAACGAACGTACGGATATTGCGGTGAATGATAGTGGCGCCGCCGATATGGAAAATATCTGTCGGGGCAAGAAGCGTCTTTCGAAAAGTAGCGATAGTCTTTTTGCGTTGTCGGGAAGGTCGATAAATGACGTCGACAGAATGCAAATGTATTCGGATGAAAATTTAAGTGCCGGCGACAGTCGATCGCGCTTTGCCAAATTCAGTAAATTGCTGCCCGAGTCTTGTGGGGAGTCGAGAAACGATAGGGGGGATCGTCATCAAATGCTTTCTGAAATGCTCGTTGAGAAGACAAGCTCGGGGATAATTATGGAGAGTACCAATGACGATGGTAAAGAGGTATCGAAGAATAGCGAAGTTTCATTGATGTTCTCGGAAGATTTGAGCAACGAGACCGCTGCATGTAAATTAATCGATGAAACGAATGATAGCGGATTAGTCGCGAAGGCAATTGATAAAAGTAACGATGATCCTTCCGCATCGTTCGACGATGTGATTAATGAAAGCGACAAACCGGAAATAGCCTCGAGAATGCTGAAATCTAAGCTACTCGAGAAGACAAAAAGTTTGCTAAAAGAGGGCCAAATTACAATACGATCGATAGACTTCCAAGATAGAATGGATATTATTACGGCAATGAAATCTATTGAAAATCCAACTGAATCCGAAGCAAAGAAATCACTTGGAGTTAGCGATCGCGTTCTTGACGATATTACGAGTAATGCACCGATGAATGAAGATAAAGGCATTATTTCTGTAGCTGCGCCAATGTCCGAGACAAAAGTAACCAGAAAAGAAACGAGAATATCTGCCGTGTCATCGAATAACTCGAGTCCCAGTCTATTTAGCGACAGTTCCTTTTTCGATCCGCAGATGTGTAGTATTTTGGAAAAGAATGTGATCGATTCGGAATTTTTAGCCGATTTTGAAAAAAGCAACTTCGCTTCACAGAATGTCGCATCCAATGAGACTGAAACTTGTAAAAGGATTACACGCAGCGGTGGCTCCATTGGTAATAAAAAACAAAGTGTCGGCTCAAATAAAGCAGCTACTCCTCGGGATGTGTCGGTTGATCCGATCAGGGAGCAAAACAATTGTAATGACGCTCGGGCCGAAGATCTTTCTACGCCTCGTAATAATAGAGAAACGAGCAATAATACGATGAAAAATGCCAAGCAAATTAGCGATCAATTGACGTGGATCGAAGATTCCTGGGATCAAATAAAAAATCAGCGACCCATTCAAGATAAGTACGAAATGGCAAAGAAAAATAATAAAAACGAGGAGAATTCCGATTCGGGAAGTCCGTCCCTTTTAAACAAGACGAATGCGCGTGGACACTTAAGACAGCTGATTTCCAGTCAAATTGCCCTTAGGACAATACAAGCCAAGACTACGAAGGACAAAAGCCCGGATGTGACGGCGAAGGACACGCCCAAGTATATTGTTCGAAAGCGAGCCTACGACAGGAACAATAGCGACGATTCGCCAATAGCGAGTGTCAGGACGTACAATACTCGCAGGCCCTTTATGCCTCACAGGTAAATAAATAAAAAAAAAAAAAGCCTTCTACCTCGACACATCTAATCACGAAATAATTAATCTTAACTGTTTTTTGTTTTGATTATATATATATATATATATATATATATATATATATATATATATATATATTAAATATTTATATTACGATAATGTGATCAGATAGTATGGGGTGATTTAATCGTTGGGCATATAAAGATTAAATATGATAAATGTAGTAAATTGACAAAGCTTTAAGAAATGCACGTTCTTTTGTATCACTTTCGGCTTAAGGACTCGTGTTGACTTAGAAAACTGTAAATACCTTTATGGCTTTACGATACGGTCCTGGTAATTTTATGAGGTACTAAAACATTGATTATTTTTCAAGGGCTACTATAAATAATTTTAAAAGATTCGGCTATTTATAAAATGTTTGTCAATACATTTCTGCTCGTATACTGATATTATTTAAAGGATTTTAAACGCATACCCACACAATATATATATATATATATAACTAATTAATAAGTAAAAGGCAATGTGATATATTTTTAGTTTAAATAAATCCGACTCGGAGGACTCGGTCATTAATTCACAGAAGATGAAGCCAGATGAAACGAATTTTAACAAAACTCGAATGAGAATCGAGAGGAAACTCGGTAAGTCATTGAAATCGAAGCAAATTGGTAGTTCCAAGGCTCTCGGCTCTTCGCGAGAGCTACTGAAGCAGAATGTCGAGCCCTTGTCGAGGTGTGCGCAGTCAAATGGCAACGACACCAATTGTACCGACAGCCGTTTGATGTTCGAGTCGGATGACGTAGTCAAGTCGCAAGGAAAAATGCCGCGAAAGGTGAACGTAAATTTATGAATTCATTGTTGACAATAAGCTCTCTTATTACCAGTAAGTAAAGCAAATGCTATCGAGTTCAATGTTTTTAACGCAATGTAATGCGTGTGGTGAAGGAAACGGGGGGGGGGGGAGAAGGACGTTTAATAAACGAGACATTTGTTATGTACAGATTAAGGAGATATCGATGAAAGATAAGATGCCACTTTTGAATGACAATAATCATGCGAATGCGTATAATGACAAAATAAGCCTGAAGGCGACGGAGCCGGTGAACGTGGCTAATTCGAGACGAGCATTTCGCTTATTTCGAAGTAACATCGAAGGCTCCTCGACGAATGAACAAAAACACAACTTGGCGGTGGCGATTGTTACGGAGATGTGCGCTAGAGAGCCGGTAGTTGCGATTGGTAACAGGATCATCGGTATCGAGGAAAGGAGGAAGGATAGAAAAGCGGATGCGTACATTTACAGGGATAAGAAAATTTACGGAATTGTAATATCCTGGGGTGCTGGCAATACATATTATATGCCATTTGGTAATACACAAGGTATTTTACTTTCCAACAATTGATATCGATAATAATTAATTTATATAATGTAATTTTGTGTAAAGTTAATTTAAAAGCCCATTACCCGAGTATTATATTATTTGCTTATTATACTTTGGAAAATAATTCAGAGAATAATTTAAATTAATAATCAATTTAAATATTTAAAGACAAATATCATTTTAATGAAATGTATTATCGTAATCTGCTTGTAGATACGAAAATAACCATAAAGGAAAGGATCAACTTCTTGCGCGATATTTTAACGAATCCATCGCGCACTTTGCACTGCTTCGATGCAAAAGAGGTCTACAAGATGCTTTACGTGCGCTATGAGATTGAATTTCGCTGTAGATTCTGCGATCCGAATGTCGCAGACTGGATAATTAATTCAGAGTCCTGGCACAAAAGCTACAGTGAATTGGTAATAAAAAAAACTTACCGAGATAAAAGAAATCTGAAAACAAAAGGTCTATTTGTTCTGTAATTGGAAATTACTTTTTTTTTTTTTTGTTAAGGCAGCGCAATACTTTCCAGATAGTCTGGATATTACTAATGCTTTGGATAACTCGTTTGGTACGAACTTTCTGGTATCGAGTGCACGAGCAGCTGCTAAAGCTGTGCTTGCTTGGTACATGACAGAAGCGGTTTTGAATGCTATTAAGAACCAGAATCCATCGTTATTGTCATTATATAGAGGTAATATATGCCGCTTTTATAGGCGGACAATGAGTTTAACAATCATTTGATAACAATTTTATCTTATTTTATTAATAGAGGTTGAAATGCCCACGATCATTATTCTTGCAAATATGGAGTTAAGAGGTGTAGGGATAAATATGAATTCTTTGCAAGAGTTGTCTATTGCAATAAAGAACGATTTGTCGCGTATTGAAGAAAAAGCTTTCAATCTTGCAGGGCGAAAATTTAATTTCCATTCGTCCAAAGACGTTTCTCAAGTACATACGTTATTTTACATATTTCTTTTTTTGTTTCTACTTATTGTGTACGCGTACAATTGACTAATTATACTCTATTGCGAATTAATTATTTTAGTCAATTGTATTATGTTTTTAGGTTCTCGGATTAAGTAAAAAGGGACGAGGCTGTACGAATAAGTTGGCTTTAAAATCATGTGAAAATCCCATTTCCAGCCTCATAACGCTTTGGCGAAAACTCAATACAGTTCAAACGAAAGTAGATATTGAAATAATCTTTCGTTACTTTATTCTTTCACCGTTGAAAGCATTAAAATAATACTTCAATTATAATTACAGATTATATTTCCGATGCTGCAGGTGGAAACAAAAAATAATCGCGTTCACGGTAATTGCATCACTTACACGTCGACTGGTCGTGTTTCTATGCACGAGCCAAATCTGCAAACTATCCCTCGAGATTTTGAGTCAGAAATAAGGTAAAGAAATTTCAAGAGATAGGGATAGAGAGAGAGAGAGAGAGAGAGAGAGAGAGAAAGCAAAGGCAATGATTATAATATTTTAACAATTTTTTTTCCTCCAAAAGCAATTGCGTACTTAGTTGTCGTATGGCATTTGTCCCAGATACCGGTAATGTGATGCTGTCCGCGGACTTTTGCCAATTAGAGCTTCGAATTCTGGCTCATTATTCGCAAGATCCTGTGCTTTGTAAACTTTTGCATGAGAAGGGAGACATTTTTAAAAGCATCGCTGCTAGACTTAATAAGACAAGCGAAAACAAGGTATTATTGCATTAAGAACGTCAACGTATGTAACGCATAAACACTAAAATGAAACGGAGCCCTTAATTTATGAGCTAAATCTTTTTTCTTTTTTGCTTTTCATTTATTTGTTTATTCATTTTATTTTTCTTGTTATTTGTAAATGCTGACCTCGGCTCGGTACGAAGCTCCACCTCGTATCAACGATATTCAAATGATTATTATTTGCATTGCCAACGAAATTTGTCAGCCAAGTATTCTTGAAATACTAGAGTATATTAACAAAATTAATAATAAAGTACGTTTGAAGGTTAACGATGATATGCGCCAGCGGGCGAAACAATTGTGCTACGCGATGATTTATGGAATGGGTACAAAGTCGCTAGCCGAAACACTTTCCGTTACTGAGTCAGAAGCCAAAGATTATCTCGAGGCGTTCATGGGTACATACAAAGGAATTCGAGTGTGGTTGAACGCCGTCTCCGTACAGGCACAAAAAGACGGTTTTGTGTCGACATTGGCAAATCGTCGGCGCATTTTACCAGACATCGCCAGTAAAATACCTGCAATCAAGTGTAAGACTGATATAAACATTTGAATTGATATTAAATTTGAATTTCTCAAGCTCGTGCAGCATCACCTTGGCAGCAGAGCTAATAATGTCATTTGACTCGTTAAAATGAGCCGTTGCCGAGTAATTTTTTAAGTAGTAATTTAAAAAAAAAAACGAGTGGAAAAGAATATCGTGAGTTATGTTTCTTGATAATTGATTATAAAATTACAATTGTACGTTTAACAAATGCAGTGGAATGTAAGTGTCGATTATCGTTTGGTATTAATGTTGTAATTCTTTTATATTTGTCTTATCGTTATAGCGCATGCGGAACGACAAGCGATAAATACGAAAGTACAGGGTTCGGCAGCTGACATAACGAAGAAAGCTATGGTGCTTATAGAAAATAAATTAAGAGATGAGTTTTCATGCAACTTGCCATTAACTTTATCAACAACGCAAAGTACTCGAAAATTACGATACAGTGACACGGAACGAAGAGCTAGAAGTGCTCATTTAGTGCTACAAATACACGATGAATTGCTATATGAAGTAATAAGTTACACGATAATAATAATAATAATAATAATTATAATAATAATAATAATAATAATAACAACAACAACAACAATAATAATAATAGTAATAATAATAACAATAACAATAATAATAATAATATCTTAGGGTAGGCTTGGTTGTAAATAAATGTTATTAATAAATGTTTTTTTTTTCAGGTGAGTCGGAGCGATCTAGATAAAGTAGCCAGTATTATTAAAGAATCAATGGAAAATGCTTATAAGTTGCGAGTACCGTTGCCGGTAAAAATGAAAGTCGGTACTGCTTGGGGTAATCTCATGGATTACGAAAATTAAAAAAATTTTACCATCATGTTTTTAAAGATAATATATAATTATTAAGGCTTATATTGCTACTTAAATAGTAATGGCATTTGACAGTATAGGAAAGTTTATTTAAACTTTTGCATAAATAAGCTTACATGCTCACCATTAAAATTCATAAATTACTTTTAATTTCTGAATTTTATTTATTTGGCACAGCATATTTTTAAGAATAATGATAGTAATTTAATGCAACGAGTACCATACATTTTTTAATTTATTGTTTATCAAATTATTACATTATTCTACTACAATTAATTTTTAAGTAACTCGATCATTACAATCATGTTAATTTATAATTGTAAACATTTTTAAAAACAAGATATTACTTGTAACAATGGTATATCAAACAATTAATTTTATGTATATAATAATGTTAATCAGCCTTTTTCATTGAAAATACGATGAATTTTGTATATTATATTATATAACGAATATTTAATATTTATACACTTAAAATGTGTAATCTTATAGTAAACATGATTTTTTTTTTTCTTTTCTTTTTTTTTTACATTTATAATAAAAATGCCTTTTTCAAGAAATTCATCTCAAAGTTTCTCTAATAATTATAACATTATATAAAAAATTTTTTTTTATATACTTGAACACTTTTATAATTTTTTACATTTCCATAAAATTTTCAAACACTAGTAATAATTTTGATAAATGCTAAAGATATACTTCATTTATCTTTGTTATTTAATAATCTGAGAGAGTCATTTAGGCGCTCTTTCAACTTTACTGCGTCTATGTTACAAAAATCAAATAATAATAGAAGATATTAATTTTCATTCCACTTAATTTATCATATAAATTAATATATCTTTTCTTTTTTTTTTTTTTTTTTTTTGTTTCGCTTTGTTTTGTTTTGTTTTGTTTGTAATTTCAATTTTCTTTATTGAAATACTTTATAATGTTTATATAATACTTTTTAGAAAGCCTTATCTTTACGAAAGATACCAAGATAAATTATACTTAAATTTGTTTATCACATGTATTTTAGTATAAAGGTGTGTACGAAGGTTGCTAATGAAACATTTTCTAATAATTTTTATGATATTCTGCAGGACAGACTAAGGTAGAAATTGCCAGGCTCGGCTAGAGCTACGCTGATGTTAAAAACAATTGACTATAATCGCTTTGAAACTTGCCTTTGTCCAGTTAATGATTATTAACGAGCTTCTAGTATCTACAATTATCATCTAAAGTTAACTATTGGATCATACCTTACCAATAAAGAATACGAAATTGTTAAACATTAGCAACGTTACTTCATAACACCCATGCGAACTGTCATCTTCTTGATTAATGAACTGGTGCACAGTCCGAATGCTCGTCCCTTATAACTAGAGTAACAATTTTTTGGTAATATTCTTCAAATATAGTCCTGTTGCGAGTGATTAATATTAAAAATTGTTTTGCAACGTCCATTAATTCTCGTCCCAATAGAGAAAGCACAGAAGGTATCTGCTGAGGATCTGGAGATTGCAACATAATTGCACTCTTAAAAAATGTTTTTATTCTGGAAGCTGCAAACAGTGCATTGAAATGATGTCCATCGCTCTCCAATATAATATTTTCAAAAATATAAATCCACGAAGCTTCGTTACTTACAAATACTTTGACGTATTCTATGATCGGCTCTCGATAGTTCCAATATTAATTTTTCCAACATCGATAAGCAATTATTGCGCTCTACGCTCGACACAGCATTTGCCGAATCTTGTATTTTTTCTATATCAGCCTTTACTTGTATAACAATATTGGGCAAAGCTTTTTCAAGATCCCTATTAAAATACACGAAGGATATAAATAAATGTAATTATTCTCAATTTCTATAAATAAAACGTCATTATTACTTGTTAGAATTAATGGAATCCAATAAGACTGTGATATGTTCTTTAATTTCATTTATATTTACGTTCCTTAAAGGATACGCAGCACTTAATATCGATAAAATAGAGCCGTTAATGACTAATCTACATGTTTTATTACGTAAATCAATTATTCTGCCTTGATCCAGCATGAGAGTCTAAAAATTTATTGTCTTTAATGTAAATATCAATGTTTTGTTAATTTACAAAATAAAGTATAAAATCGGTGGGGCGGATACCTCAGCACTTGGTGTAATATCAAATTCTAATAGATCTAGGTAAGCCTCGATTAAAATAAAGTCAGTTATTTGTTTTACGGCATTAGCATCCGTAGAGTTTGCTCTTATTACGTCACCTGTTAAATACTTAGATAACCATGACCTCGTCTTTCGAAGGCCATCTTCTTGTACTTTTAAAAATTCAGAAAATTTACGTTTTTCATATTCTATGCTAGAAGCAACTATGGTTGGCCTATACATATTTATCGTGAAATTTGTTAAATCCAATTTCATAAGTTCGAGAACCTCCATCACTCCTTTGAAAGTCTCGATAACATTGGTGCAGTTCTTCAATTCCGCTATCCTCTCATCCCTCACTGGTGCACAAATTTTAGCCATCAATGAAATAACATATTGCGCATAATGTGAGAAATCTAGAACTCCGTTTTCGGCTTGTTGCTTTATTAAAGCAATATCGAGGACTTCGTTGATACTCTCTTTCGTTCTCGCATTGTGTGGAAAGAGCAATTCATCCAGTGACTGTTCATAACCAGATAAATAATTTAATTAAAAATAGCTGCTCGATAAATATGGGAATCGCATCGCTATACCTGCTTTATCTCCTCCAGTAATTGCATAGCTTGTGTATATACAGGTGGACTTTGCGATAATTCATCGGATAAAATATCCCAATATGCTTTGTGCAAGATGTCCTTGACTTTTTTATACAGCGTGTCATCTTCTGGTTCGATCTTGTCAATTTTAAAATTTTGATTAAGAGCAATCTCATGAGCAATGGCCATATTTTGTAAACCTTCCGCTGCTTTTAAGAGCTCCTTAGGTGGAGATTCAGCCATCGAGTCTTCGGTAATGATATTACAAATTCTGGAAACGTAAAATATTTCTTAAATATTTAATACGTCCACATTAAAGAACGAAAGAAAGGCAATTTTGCGCTTAAAGGAACAGAGACTAATATATAGCTGATTAACATTCAGAATGGAAAATTCTATTTGGAATAATAATATGAAGCTTCTGTATTATGTATTTCGTGATTTTTACCTCTCGAGATTGTACTGATCGATGCTTTCCGATACCAGCGGATTAGATTCTATTGTAGATTTCGTTTCCGTTGCTTGACGACTTTTGCCATCGTTGCAAATGTCGCTCAACTTTTCATTACTAGAGCAGATTTATAAAACAATTATTATCGCTTAAAATCATTCATAAAAGCAATGAGAATAAAGCACACAAACATTTATATACCTCTCTGACATTTTTATATTAACTTCAAGAAAAATAGTAAAAAGTTGATTGGAACATTCAGTGTCAGTGATCTGTATCCAGTAAAATCTACAGGTTGACTAATCTGGTTCCGCTAAGAAGGAGGTCAAACCGCATCTATAAAAAGAACACCCACCATACTTTAAATATATCTCTGCTTCCTCAAACTTGTTTTACCATTTAAATCTACAATTTTTCATACGTATTTCTTATTCCTACCTGTAAGACAAAGAAAACCTAAGTCCAGCCGGCTAATTACATTATAATAATGGTAATATGCAAAAATTATCATATTTATTAAAAGTAGTAAACGCCAATGACAAATTATTCATTATTAATGGGAACGAAACGATTTGTTTGTAATGAAAAATAAAGTATGCAAGGCTTTAACAAAGAAAAGATATTTTTTTTATAATATGTCTTTGTTATTCCAAATAAGCCAAACAGAAATACCGTTTATCCATAATATGCAATATTTGCCTCGAGCGAATATTGCTAAAAATAACGAATCAAAAGAAATAGTTTAATCAATAGGATCCAACAATGTTTGTTGCAGAAATATTATTAGTGCGTAATAAAGAGAGACTCGAGTTACAGGACAGCCGAGTGCATCCGCAGCAGACATTTGTGTACATACAAATAGAATAGTTATATATAGGTGTGCATATACACGGTATGTGCGCGCAAACAAACATTCGCGCACACAAACACACAAACACACACACACACACACCCATGCATGCGTCTCTCTATATATATATATATATATATATATTGTAGGATAATGTGCATACGACAAACCTTCGTACAGATTATCGGATGCAGACGAGATTCAAGGCGTTAAATTCTGTCACTATTAGCACGAATAATTTTCATTTACAAAATATACTATTCAATCACATTACTAATTTCGACATAACTGATAAGTTTCTTTTTTTACTCCATACGTCTTATTTACAATATTTTTATTTTTGCTATTTTTAGATTGTTTCAAGTACCGTGCATCGTCATTATTTATTTAGTTTTACCCACAGCTCATTTCGAGATTATCGATCGCTGACATTTTTCGACTTATATCGCGCGCAAATGAACGACATTTAAAAACTTTTCAAACTCCAAAACACTTCGTTTCACTAGTTACTCCTATCTTTTTTATGTGGTTTAATCTATTTTTTTTCCTGCTTTTATATACGAATGAATTTCTTAAATGCAACGGGCCTTGATTTTAGTCTTTGTGTTCATTGTGTCAGCAAGCGCTGCAAATGTTTTTCTTCCTTAATTCCATTTTCGTAATGCCGTTTGCCTTGAAACAAGAGATGAACTCGGTTGAAGGTCCATCGAATTGACTTTCTTACATTTATGTCCACGATATTAATCTTTTTGCGACATTTGCAATAAAAGCCAATTGAAGCATACATTGCCCGAAAGAACGCGAAAATTATATTGCAAATGTAAGAGTTAATCTATTGGCATTCGACAATAAGCAATAATAATGATTATTAATTAATTTCGTCGCGAAATTATTTTTGTCAAAATGTTTCGTTTGAGAGAAAGAAAGACAAAAAAAAAAAAAAAAAAAAAAAAAAAAAAAAAAAAAAAAAAAAACAAATAAAAAGAAAAGAAGGGAGATAAAATAATCAAAAAGTAATTGTCAAATAAAGTGAAATATAAAGATAGATAAAGAGGAAAAAATATTGTCCGTCACTTGGAAATTGTATGATATTTTGCCTTTCAACGAGGCTAAAAGAGTATTTCAAGCAACTTGCATTGATGATTCATGGATAAAAAGGGACTGCTTATTCACCTTGTGGTCGTCCTTTTTTTTTTTTTAGTAGACGACGTGATTTTTCTTTCATAAAAAATCTCAGTCTCCGAGCCTTAATTTTGTTACAATGCGAGCTGATCAAATGTTCACATAAATTGAAATGAAACGATAGTCCTCAGGGTTTATGGGTCAAAAAATTACGACTTCTTAAATTTATAAAAAAAAATCTTTATATAAAAGAAATTTATCTATAAAGTAAACAATTTGAAGGAAAAATACACAAGCAAAATATTGAAATAAAAAAAAAAAAAAAAACATTACAAAATACATTTAACGTATTTTCGAAATATTATATCCTGTAATTCTTTTTTTCTTCCTTTTTAATAATACATCATCAATCAAGTTTATTTTTTTGTTCAAATCTTTTCTTTATTTGAATTAACGTTCCTAACGCACGCATACACATATGTATGCGATATACTTTAAGTATATAATAAAAAATACCGCTTAATTTAAATTTTATGAAACGTTTAGTAAATATGTATAAATATAAAAAGTATAAAATAAAAAAAAAAAAAAAAAACGATTTTTTTTTTTTTTTTTTTTTTTTTTATATCAATACCAAATCGACGCACGTACTTGAAGCAGCAAAGGCAAAATAAAGTATCTGCTTATAAAAGGATAAAGAAAACTACACAAGGACAAGATAAAGTGGCCACGAAGCACATTTGCCGACAACAAGTAAACCGAGACAAAAACCATTAAAGTAGTGCCTCCCCACTCCCCGTCCAACAGCAGCCTGACTACCCCTCCCTCCTCATCACGAGCAACACTGGCCAACCAAGGGACAATAATCCTTCAGATAGGACCAACTTCTATGCTCAGCCAACATTATCAAATGACGAAATAACAATCTGCTCATCGTTATTAATAAAACTCTTTTAATTATAAATCTTAATGGTACAGTCATAGGATATATAGACAAGGGGTCGGGGCCGGGCTCGCTTATGTCGACTCCTTGTTCTTGCGCAAGATAACGAAGCCCTCCATGATGGGCGTGAGGGGCACGTACTCCTCGGTCGCGAGCTCCGCGCGTTCCCCGTGCGCCAGCAGCACGGGCGTCGTGTGAGTCTGGAAGCCGGTGATGGTCTTGGGGTTGCCAGCCTGGCCGACGACGTCCACGGCCATGCCGACGCGTACCGGCACCGCCAGCGGCGCGAGCTCTTCGTCGAACGTCACTAGCATCCGGGGCTGCATCGCCGCCGCCAGAGTGTAGAGCAGGTAGTGCGACCTCCCCAGGATTACTGCCGAATAGCGTTAGAAATATGAAGCGTTAAGACTCGACTCGCTAGGCTCGAGATTTTATAATGGCTAGTTTGGTTGTAAGAAGCCTCGGGGGCTTGACGTTAAAGATTAACGAGACCTCGAGGAAATAACGATTTGACTCACTGTTCTTTACGTCGAGGAACCCAATGAGGGTGGCTAGGAGTCCAGCGAGGGCGACCGGACTCAGCAGTTGGCGATCGCTGTGGTAGGGCGAGAGAGTCATGGTACCCTTGCCGAGGTGAATGAGACCCTGGGCTATTCTCACCATGAAGAGATTGTTGGGATCCTTGGCGTGGTACTGGGCCAGCTGCCTGAGCATCGCCGCGAGCTTGGAGTTGTTGGTGCCGGCGCCGACGAGGCCCATCGCGAATATCGCGTTGTGCGCGACCTCGAGGTCGCTGTCGTGGGAGAACTTGGATAGAGTGTCGAGGATGTTGAGCTTGGGATTGGAGACGGATATGAGGCCGAGGGCGAGGGGTACCGAACGCCTTATCACGGGCTCGCAGTAGCGCAGAAGGTGGCCGAAAGTGCGATAGGCCATCTCCGCGCCGATCTCCTCGCCCATTGATATGAGGGCGATACCGAGGACGGCGACGGCCTGCCTCGAGCTTAAATCCTTCTCCTTCTCCTCCTTCTTCTCCTCCTTCTTCTCCTTATCCTTGCTGCTCGACTTTTCCTCTTTTTCGTTAACCGGCTCATAGTGCTCCGAGCAGATGTGCAGGAGGTGCTGGATCTTGAGGACGTTGCCCGTGCCCGCGTAAGCGCACATCTCCACGAGGGTCGTCGACATGGACTTGAAGGGCTCGGGGATCACCTCGAGGGCTGCGATTATAGCCTCGGCGGCCTCCTGTTTGCCCAAGAAGCAGAGTCCCAATCCAAGGGGCAGGAAGCGGGCGTACGTGTCCTGCGTATTGAAGAAGTGTCGCGATAGAAACAAAGCTTCTTTAACGTATTAACATAATCGCAAGCTCTGAGCTTTGGATCGAAGGGAGTGACGCAATTAATCGCGCACCTTCCCAACCTCTTACCTCACTTTATACTTTATATTCATTAATTATAAAATCTCTTCTCGTATAAGGATAACGATGCGATAGAAATCAAACCTATTGCGTTTGCCAGTGCCAGGGGCACTTGGTGTCCGCAATCGCCTAAGTAAGCGAGCTTCTAATTTAATAAAGTACTCCGATTTAAAGTAAAGCCGATTGATAAATAAATGATGCGAATCAATGAAAATGTCATTGACACGAGGTGACGGATAACGTTAACGTACGGCAAAAAGTTATGGCCATCCTAACGAGGATGTAAGAAAGTGCATACATACGCATATATGCGCTCACACGCACGCACACGCGCGCGCGCGCATATATATATATATATATATATATATATATATATATATGTATATGCATACCTTGAGTTCTGTTTCGGTCTTTTCCATTAGCGTGTGCATAATGGCGGTGGTGACGGTGGCGTTGCAGGAGCCAACGGCCACCATACCCAGGGCGAGTCCGGTGACTCCGATAACCTCCCAGTTGGACTTTTGATCGCTGAGAACTGGTATTAAAAGACTGAGTACGGCCTCTTTGTTCGATCCGGCGTAGGACAAACCGAGTCCCACAATGGCGCCGATTCTCATCGTGTTGCTGTTGTGCAGCACGTAATCGGAGAGTAGAGCCAGCGCGGGCTCGCACTCGTTTCTCACTCCGCAGTTGACGATTCCACAGGCCAACAGTGCTCCGGACTTTATGTAGTCCTCGGAGGAGTAGAGATACTTGTCGATGGGCGTCAGACCCCCGTCGACGTCCCAGAGAAGTATGAGGCCGAGGGAGGCTGTGGCGCTAAACATGCCGTGCTCCTTGTTCTTGTAAAGCCACTTGTTGCCATCCTCGATGAGGAGCTTGTCGTGGCCGAAGCCCGCGTTGACGAATCCGTTTACGAAGCTGGCGGCGAGGTTTTGCCGCGCCGAGTCCACCTGGCCGCCCCCGAACGGCGGTCTCGAGTTCTCCAGATGCGATTTGTACACGTCCTCGGGAGTCTTAGCCTCCATTATGTCAAGATCACGAGCGAGATTCAAGAAATGATTGTTCAAATGGGAGTTTGTCATTATTTCCACGAGATCGTCGTACCAGTCGATGGATATGGGCAGCTCGAGGAAGATTTGCTGGCGGCCGAGCATGAAGGCTAGTTGCTTCTGAATTGATCTAAAATGTGGTTGGTACGTATCATGAAAATGGTGGGCGCAATAGCGTGGCTTGTAATAACCATGCGCGGAGCTCGCGGGTCGACTTTACTCACAGATCTGGACAGTTGGTGAATATATTCTCGATGAGGGGTAGATCGTTGAGCTGCATGGCGAGCCTAAGGGCTTGCGGGTACTGTGAAAATTTCTTATATAATTTTAATGCCGCGTGCAGAAGCGTGCTGTTTTCTGGATCGGCGACGTAAGGGACGCAATTTGTAAGGTATAAACAAACTCGCTGATACGCACTTTCGTCGACGTATTGTTCAAGAAAGTCGAGTCGATCGATTTCCATAAGTAAATCGCAGGCCTCTGTTTCGGCGTTGTGAGCCATGTTATAAGGTACAATTTCGTGAACAAGACCGATTAATTTTTTGGTCATCTCTTCGGAGCCTTCGATCGCCAGTTCCTCCCATTCTTCCACCAATTCACCCGACAAATGTCTCACGTACTCGTGACCCCATTCGCCGATATTGAGCGCCGAACCTATTTGCAAATAATAATAAATTGCAAGTAACTCGTTTACATAGCGATAAATTGAAATTTTACGATCCTTAAATCGATATCAGTGTATTATGTCATGATAATTCGTCGTTGCCTTTCAGAGCGTTCGTTTCAACGTGTTAAGTCACTTTTTTCTAAAGCCGGTAAGAGCCAGGCCAACGATAATCATATAAAACTCACCTAATATTCTATACTTTAGGCATTCTCTACCTTCGCCCATCGTCATCGCTAAAACAGAAATCACATCCGAACACAGTTCCCTACATTTTTTATCTTTGAGCTTATCGTAAATGGCCTTCATTGTATCATAATGGGGACGCATGAACTTCAGTGGCTTGGGTACACTAGTCATTGACGTTGTAGACGTTCGAATTTGCGTGCGCAACGAGTCCAATGCGTTGAGATACAATTTGCTATTGGAATCCTGTAAATGCTCTACATATTGATTCAACTCTTCCTGCAGAAGCTTATCTTCCTCCGACTAAATAAACAAACAATCAATACGTTCGATTAATAAACGAGATTCTATTCGTGGGGCATCGTTTTGCAAATATAAATATAGCGATCGGCCAAATAATGATGATGATGATTAAAAAAAAAAAAAAAAAACCATGGAATAACGCAACAATAAACTGTTATTGAAAATAGTCAAGGCAAGTTACCATTTCCGATTTGTCGTCATCCTTTTCACTTTTCTTTTCGACAATTGGCTTAGGAATCTCCACTTTCGTACTCTCAGGCATTTCTCAGCTTATTCTATTTAATAATCCCAATAATATGAGCGACGTCGCTCGAATCCTTCTCTTTTAGGTTAGGAAAACGAATGGAGTTACGAGTCACTCTTAAAGCCGCTTGGATAAACGAATGACACCTGGCGCCTCTCAAATACAATGCGCTCAAGTACGCAACGTCGATTGCAATTTTTAAAAAGTATTTTTCCAAATAATAAAAGCTTCTTATTAATTAATGTGCCAGCGTGCACGCTCACCCGGTAGTACGTTTAAACGTACACTGACTCCTGTCATTCGTGTTCTTGTAATGTTCAATTAAACGATATTTATTCCATATCATAGATCGTTATGTCGCGGGAAATGACGACAATAACGCGAAAGCTTAATTATTATTATGAATTTGCGCGTTGTGCGGACTCGAGGCCTTTAACATTCATTTCAAATAGATATTCAATACAATACATTTCTTAATATTATGTTATTCAAAGGATTCACTTAGACGGGTCAGAAGCAATTATTATTTACGAATTATAAATATTTGGCAATTTCATGACATTGTGACGGGATGTTCCACATGATTTTCGATGAACCCAAGCGGCACATTATAACGTTCTAATCAAATCGATCTATTAACAACGTCCCATTGTTTTTTTATCCCAGGGATATTTTTTGCAGGGATTGGCGATAAGGTGTGAAGGCTCGAGGATCGAGTGACTTTATTGTTAACCGACATGATTAAGTGCTCGATATAGGTATTACATACTCATAATATTAGTTAATCGTTGAAATAGAATTATTTGATAAATGCATTTGATATGCTCGACAGTCGTATTGTTTAAGTATTATAAGCCCCGTCGAACGCGATACATTTGCCATTAGCCACCCTCCCATTCAACAATTCACAATTCAACGGCTTATCAATTTATAATAATCAATCGATATCAACCATCATCTCTTTACACTCTTTTGTATATATCTTTCATTCAAAAATTTCATCCTCCCAGCCCATTATCCTAATTATTTCAACGCCAGCGGTATTATTCGAGTTCGTGGCACGGCCCTCTGGCGCTAATCGTGCTTTTTTTTTCTCTTCGTCCAACTTGTATTCGACGTTTCTTGTAAGTTCCGAGTCCCGAGCTTAATAGAGTGCGCACGCGGTTTGCAATTTCATTGAAAATCCATGGCATTTACCGCCGTACATGCAAAATGGTTTTTGAACTCACGTTTGCTCGGAGGTTAATAATAAGCTACAAACACTTTTAGATTGCTATTATTAACGTTATACTTGTATATAAATTGTAGTTATACGTAAAATAAGTGTCGAAACATGGACATTGAGCGGATAAACTTTAGTCAAGATGAAGATGAGCCCCAAGCACGTGTAAGTAGCGAGTGAAACATTGCTTAGATCGACCGGCATTGAGGTTACAATTTGAAATATAACGAGCAAACATTTTAAATATTAACGAAATAATTTTATGCCTTCGCAGGACGAGCACAAAGTAAATAAGAGAATTCAGGATTATAAGGATACCATGTCACTAATTAAGTTGAAAATGAACAAAGCCGAGTAAGTCAATTATCCAAGTTTAGTTATTCATTGTGTTTATTTAGTTAAGCCATGTCATTTGATTAATGTCGTTCGTGTTTTAGTGCATTAATAAGGCAGTATAATGATAAAATAAAAGAGTGTAATATATTAAATGAAGAGAAACGAGATATTTTGAAAAAGTATAATCTTACAATGGAAAAGCATGCTAAGCTAGAGTTGGTAAGTGATATATTATTTTATAAATTGTCATTCTCAAGAGGGATTCAGCCTTGGATATTGAAATTAAAAAATTTAATTTAAATCACTTTTATTGACTATTTTTCAATTAACATTGATTACAACAGGTGAATATTGAATATAAGCAGTCTTTAGAACAGCAAAAAAATCTAATTGATAAACAAAAGACTAAATTGGAAGAAAATGAAAAGCATATTAATCAATTGATTTTTAAAATTAAAAATACCGAAGAACAAAATTCAACATTAGAAGGTATATGATCAGCCACACACGCACACACGCATACAATATATATATATATATATATATATATATATATTTTTTTATATATATACAGAGACATGTGTATGTATAAGCCTGCGTATGCGCGCGTGTGTGTGTGCAGAGCTGTGCGCGCGTGGGCGCGTGCGCGTGTGTGCGAGTACGTGTGGACATGTGCTCGTGTGCGTGCGCACGCACGCACAAACATCATTTTCTTTTAGTACAATTCTTTAATTCTTTACTTACATACATACGAGTATAATAATAATTTTAATAATTTTTTATTGACAGACAAAATTAAAGCCTTACAATTAGATATGAAAATTGCTAAGAAAACGGTAAAAAGTGTTGAAAAAAAGCCAAGTGTGCATTTAAAGGAACAATCGAGTCAAACGATAAGTATGCGATTAGTAATAAATATCTATTAAATTGGGATAATAATTGCGACTGTTTAATTGTTATAATTTTCTTATACGCAGGCTACGAAAAACAAAATACCTCGGTGAATACAGATCCTGTAAAGGTTGTGCCTAATAACTTGAAAATGATAGATAAGCATGTAATGACTGAGCAGTGTTTAAGTATACAGAAAGAACCATTTCCTATATTTTGTACCAAATGCGAGATGTGTATCATTCCTACACCAGTTGAACAGATACTCAAAGTTATGTCTTTGAGTCCACCATTTTTATCCGAACATTTATCACCTCCGAATTCGCCAAGTAAAAATCACAAAATTACCATATTTTATGAACGATGTGTCACACATCGATATTAATATTTTCTTTTATGTAGGATTGGTGAAACCAAGTGTTGAAATTAACGAGCCCTTGGAAAGTACATCGACAGCTATGGAAAATAATAACCAAGCTTCTCCTTCTGAATTATATAACAATGAATGCAAGAATCCAAATCAAATTACTGAAGAAATGACGCATGTCACATTCATGGAAATAGATAAATTAACCAGAAAAATAAATAAATTAGAAAAATTAATGAAGAAAAGAAAAACGAAAAAGAAGTTAAATAATTGTTTTCATAAAAATTGTTGTATTTCTAAAAATATAAAATTCATCCTACAGATGCCGAGTGAGAAAAAATTTTTTAAATATCGAAAACGTGATAAACGTAAATTAAAATGGTTAAAGAATAAGTATAAAAGAGACATTGATGTAGACGGAGTAAAAAATTTTATATGGCAAATTGAAGATAATTCGAAAGCTGTGAAAAGAAAAATAGAATCGGATGAGAAAAGTAGCGTATCGTCTAAAAAAAGAAAATATTGCAGTGATATTGATTTGTTTGAATCTTCAGTAGTTTGTATTCCTAAAAAAATATCTAATGATTTTTTAAACGAGGATATTTGTAAATCGGAAAAAACCTTTTCGTCATCGAAATGTTCAGAGGCGGTGAGATAAATTTTTAATAATTATTCTCAACAATCAATCTTATATTTATTAATTATGATTTTTCGTAATAGTCTGATTGTACGTCACCAAGTGAAATAACAGAGGTGAATGAAGATAATTTAAGAGAATCGTCATTAATTGAAGATGTAGCTATGACGGAATTTGTAACAAAATTAAATGATTCAGCTTGCGATTTATCGACTAGTCAAACCTTATCGTCAGAAAGTACTTGCTACTCTAACGAAGAAAAAGAGAATTTTGTATTTGATAAAGTCAACGAAGACATTACTTATAATAATATTCATTCCTTACCCGTAAGATTAGAAAATATTGAAAAAAATACGTATGAAGTAGATGTAGATAATAAAATTGAAAGCAATGATTTTGTTTGTAATGCAACTAATAATTCATGCGATAACAATTTTATGAATAGCGTTAATATAGTTAACAATCAAACAAATGAAAATTGTAGTCAATTTAATGAGTATTCCGTGTCTAATATTAAATCGGATATGTTGGATAAATCGATATCTACCTGTAATCATGAAATTAGTAGCGAGCAAAATAATAAGCAAAATAACAGTTGGATATACAATGATAAATCGGAAATAAATAATTTAAGTGGTACGCTTGAATTAGCTGTAAATATGAAAGATACTGAAAAATGTGAAGAAAGTCTATTTAACCTGAAATGCCAGGATGGTGCTTTATTACTTCGAGAATCCAGCGAAGTACTCGATTGTAATAGAAGCGTATCGAGAATAGAAAGTAATATAACTGGATGTACTGAAAATTCAAACGAAGAGAATCCTTGCATTAAAAAATTGCCTGCCTCCGATTTATTTTCAAGCACAAGTTATTTATCCGTTAAAAAACATAGCAGTGAAGATGTAATCGATAAAAAGAACGAACGAGAACAGAATTCGGATTTTCATGAAAATTGTATTATACCCAATGAAATATCCAATAAATTTTGCTCACCAATTACTACCACAGTATACCCAAGTATGTATGATAAAACAGAAGATGAAAATGAAAATTTACAGGTCACATGCAACGATAGAAAGTCAGAAAATTTATCCGTTTTACCGGTGAGACCCAACAGCATTGAAAAAGATAATCATTTGGCTGCAGACAGTATTATTGAGATACAAAATCATAAGTCCTTTATTGAAGAAACGAGCGATTTTTTCGATAATAGTGTAAATAATGTTGATGATGTACATAGCATTTCAACGAGTCACGATCTTAACATTTCATTATCAGCTACTGTGGACGATAACCAACATAGCAACATTAGTGCCGACCATTCGACCGATGAAACCTTCGATAAGAAGGGCTCGAAACCTCGTAGTCCAAGAACGCGTAACGAATTGAATAAAACTTGCAACGCTAATTTAGCAGGTGGAAATAGAAAGAAATTGCTGTCGAAGATCAGAAATTTGAGTAGAAACAGTAAAAAACCAATTGTTTTGAATAATTTAGAAGCGGGAAACTTACAATTTAGAGAGAAATTAAATGGTGTAAGTGACACGCCAGTAAATAAAACAGTAAATAATCCAAATACATTAGTGGAGTCTGTGCCAATTATAGAGCCGCCAAAAAAGCAGCGTATAGCACATACACCAAAAACAATTAATTTTAATGTTAACAGTGAATCCAATAACCAAATTGCACAGGCAATGAAGAGAGCAAAATCACTTTCTAAAGACCAGATAGAGGATAATAATGATAAGGTATCTATCATTATGAATGAAATTGATAAAACCTTTAAAGTTATGGCAAAGGTTCCATGCACTTCAAGCGCCTTATCAGCTCTTCCATGTGATCCAATTTCCATTTCATCGATTCAAGATAATGCATCCGAATATAATAGTAGATGCTTAAATCCGACCAATAATGGCGATAATGTAAAAAATTGTAATGATAAATTGGTGAAAGCTTTAACTCCGAGTGCTGTATTATCGGAAATTCATCAGGAATCACCGGAAATAACAAGTATCCGAGAGAACCAATGTTTTGATAGAATATTCAGTTGCCAGGATAATTTATCTAATAACGAACGTAAGAAAGTTTGCCGTTTAAAGAAAGTTTGTTCTTAATATATAGGATTTAATCCATTTTATGTTAAGATTTCACTTTATTTTAATCTTTTTTATGATGCTTTAGACGAGGATGCACGTAATAATGCAACGAAGAATCTCAAGGAGGATGCTGTGAACGTTAATAATAATGAAAACAAAAGTCCAGTAAGGGAATTGCGATCGCGTCAGATAACTATAAATAAGGAATTTCCCGTGCGAAAGAAATTGTATGTGAAGAGACTAGCACATTCGAAATTAATAACTCCGCAAAATTCTTGTTTATTTACTACGACCGTAATATCGATTCTAAATGGATATTTGTCAAATCCAAATGTAATGCACAAGTATTTCAAAAACAAGGAAATTTCTCAATTCAAACATAATGGTAAGCCTGTCGGCCAGTTTCCTTCTCATTTCATTTTCTATTTATCATTTGTAAATTTCCTTCAATTTAATCTGCCCGAATTATTTTGATATATTAAAGAACAATTTATTATGGAGCAACTTGAGTTACTTACGAAGCTAGACGAATGGACAATTAAGGCTCATACAGAAATTATAGAAAATCTTATGACCTTGCAAGATTTCAGATACATTGCTCTGTATGTACATTATGCGCACAAATATGATTATTATTATTTTGTAATCTAATCGATTGGAATTTTTAGGTTTATAATTGAATTTATAGTTTATAAAATGTCGGATGATGAAACATTTGATAAAACTCACACGCCACCTGCTCCAATAATGACTAGATCAGAGCAAAAATTAATAACTCTGATTTTAGAGATTGATAAGAAAGTTCAAAACTTCAGCGACATGATTATAAAGGGCATTCAATTTAGGCTTTTTAGGCTTGGTGTTTCGCAGGAGGTTCTGTTAACATAATATAGTCGTAGAAATAAATTTAACGCTTCGAACTTGGTAACAAATAAATTTTTATTTATCATTCCAGGTACAAATTGTGGAGAGGCTCTTTAGGATACTGGTTGTGTTAAATAAAATCAAGAAAGATAGAGAAAAAGTACGGATATTTTGTTGCGACGCTCTCTACT